CCAAATCCAAATTGAGTATCAGTTAGTGCACATTAATATAAATTTCCATAACTACCTACGTTAACAATCATAAGTACGAATTTCCAACACTTCCCACATACCCCAATCTTATTTCCAAATTTCAGGATTCTATCGGTTCACCTAAATCCAATTTGTAGCACATTTAGTACCACTTAGAACACATAAGTAAAAATTTCCATTACTACCTACATCATGCAATCCAATTGAAATCATGAATTAGATAAAATCTTAATTATAATCCAAATAGTATCAATTTTAGTACACAGTAGCACGAATTTCCAAAACTTTCTACTTAACCCAAACATACACTTCCACGGTGATCCTTAATCCAAGTTCCAGGATTCCAACTCTATTGTTTCCTTCTTAGTTCAAACCAACAACCCCACAGTGTTCCTAAATCCAAGTTTCAGGATTCCAACTTTATCGGTTGACCCACAATTCAAATTGTACCAAATTTAGTACACAGTAGTACGAATTTCCAAAACTTCCTACGTAACCCAAACCCTCACCCCCAGAGTGATACTAAATCCAAGTTTCAGGATTCCAACTCTATCGGTTCACCCACAATTCAAATTGTACTAAATTTAGTACATAGTTGTACCAATTTCCAAAATCTAAATTTCAGGATTCCAACTCTATCTGTTCACCCACAATTCAAATTGTACCAAATTTAGTACACAGTAGTACCAATTTCCAAAACTTCATAAATACCCAATCCCACACCGCCACAGTGATCGTAAATCTAAATTTCTGGATTCCAACTCTATCGCTTCAGCCACAACATAAATTGTACAAAATTTAGTACACATTAGCACAAATTTCTGCATATCTCAAATCTTACACCTCAACAATGATCCTGACTCCAAATTTCTGATTCTAGCTCCATTGGTCCGCCTAAAATTCAAATTGTACAAAATGTAGTACCATTTAGTACGAATTTCAAAAACTTCCAACTTAACCCAAAGCAACACCCCCACAGTGCTCCAAAATCTAAATTTCAGGATTCCAACTGTATCGGTTCAACCACAATTCAAATTGTACCAAATTTAGTACACCTAAGTACAACATTTTAAAACTTCCTGCATATCTCAATCTTACACCTCGACAGTGATCCTGACTCCAAATTTTATGATTCTAGCTCAATTGGTTCACCTAAAATTAAAATTGCACCAAATTTAGTACCATTTAGTACCCATAAGTAATAATGTCTTAAACTGATTCCTGACCCCAATCCTACACCCCTAAAATGATCCTAACTCCAAATTTCATTGTTTCAGCTCTACCGGTTCACCCAAATCCAAATTGTACCAATTATAGTACGATTTAGTACTTTTCGTACACATAAGTAACAAATTTCCAAAACTACGTACATATCACAATCCTATACTCCGACGGTAATGTTACTTTCAATTTTCAGGATTCTAGCTCCATTTGTACCTCCAAATCAAATTTGTACCAAATATAGTACCATATAGTACTTTTCGTACACATGAGTACACGGTTTCAAAACCATCTCCTTATATCGACCCTACTTCCCAACCCTAATTCGCATTCCAAATTTCAAGTTTTTAGTTCTATCCATTCTCATGCTACAGAATTGTACCAAATTTAGTACATTTTCGTACATTTCGGATAGTTGTAGTTCGAATTTCCAAAAACCCTTTGGTACATCTATCCTACACTCCATCAGTGACCCTCAATCCAAATTTCAGAGTTCTAGCTCTACTGGTTCGCCAAATACAAATGATATCATATTTAGTACTTTTTAGTACTTTTCGTACCCTTCTAGTACGAATTTCCAAAAACCCAGCCTTATCTGTCACATTTGGGCCAAGAGTGACCCTCACCCAAAATTTCAAGATTCTAGCTTCAGCCGTTTCGTCTGGGCGTTGATGAATCGTTAAATCAGTCAGTCAGTCAATCACTTTACTCTTTTATTAGTATAGATATATATAGATTGTGACAAATCTTAATAACGATACCGGTAACCACAGCATCAGCTGAAAGATATTTTTTAATCCTACGTCGAGTAAAAATGTATCTGAGATATAAATGCAGATCCCATAAGTCTAAATGATGACATAAGTTATTTTTTTAACAGAAGACTTGATTTGTAATACATATTATTTTTTTAACTAGCAGAATTAATGGAAAACATATTTCAGAAACTATTTACAGTCGACTCCGCTTTTCTTAAATTATTGAAATGTGGAACGGTGTTTTTGAGTTCCTTTCGAAGTTTGGACGGGCAAACTTTACGTTCTTCGACGTCAACTTTATATGTAGTTGACACACACGTTCCATATGTCGGTAATAATCAATAATTGCAGAAAAATATCTGTTATGGTGGGCTTTGCAAACTACTCTGTAATTATCTTTAATATTCATGACTTTCAGTAATACGGAGTGATTTCAAAGGAAATTGCAATATTTGACTCCAAAAGTTATTTTAGTTATCCGATATTTTTAGTTATGCGAAGTTTCACTTATCCTGAGTAAATTGTGGGTGATTAACCTAAAATGAAATGGTGCAGGAAATCTATTTCACTTATCCGATATTTTTAGTTAAGCGACTTACAGTAAAGCGGAGTCGACTGTACCGAACAATGTACGTCAAATTTCCACAGTTAAAAAAATGCATAATATTTTCCTCACGACGGTAAACCTTTATTTAATGATACTCCAGTATATTAAGTAATATTGTTAAATATTAAATTATGTCAGTATGTTTGGTATATCAGTTTATCAAGTGATCAAACTTATTCCACCAAACATTTTTCAGGAGAAGGTCAAGTTTTGATCTAACTACTTTTATCTCAAAATTTAGTATTGATGACGTAATTACTTTTCCTATTTTGATCACATACGATTAATAAGTCCTTTGAATCATAAAAATTAGTGCAGACGTTCTTGAGTTATAAAAGGTGTATGTAAAAAAACATTTGATACTCCAATCTCCGACTTTTTATGTTTTTCTCAACTCTTCCCACTGCAATTAAAAACAACCGTACGAAAATGTGATTCTAATTTGTAAATTGATTAAGGTTAATTTTACTTACTAACTTATTAATTATACTTTTTTCGTCTGACTCCCACGCGCTTTTCACGAAAACATGTTATGTATGAATCGGTGTAGGAACACTTAACGTCGGCACACGTCGATTAAGCACCCAATCTCTAATCGGGCAAAATACAAAGAAGCTAATATCTCGCCATCTGTCGGACGAGCTTAAAATTAAACAGAAATACTCATCACGTCCATAGAGCATATATATATAAAGTTTGGTCAAAATCGGTGCAGTAGTTCCAGAGTGACGGTGAAAAAAACACCAAAATACTAAATATTGCGCCATCTTTCGGATGACCTTCAAACTACACAGAAACACTCCTCACGACCCATAGAGCATGTATATACAATTTGGTCCTAATCGGTGCAGTAGTTTTTGAGTTTAGCGATCACGAACATACACGTAATTTGTATATATATAGAGATAGAGATATACAATTTATTTATAAATACGTATACATTACAAAAGTAATGAATTTATATATTTTTGTGATCTGAACGAATTTTAAAATGATTTCTTTTGTTTAAATACATTTTCACGATTAGTATTGCCTTTCCATAGAAATATTGATTTATATTTTCTAATTGGCATATTCGAATTTAAAATGTTTTAAATGATTTGTATTAAAATAATAACTTGTTTTATAACTTAGTCATTTACTCGTATTATTTTTAAAAATTATCCATTCTGTTTATATAGTATGTATGAAGAGAACATATAGAACTCAACAATATAAAATTTTATAAAAAATTATTTTTATGATTTTTAATCTGTACCCAAGCTGGTACAGTGGCTCAATGAATATAATTATGTATATTTGCTTAACCTTATACCATAGACAGACGAAAGCCTTAATTTGCATAAAAAAGTTCTTAATTCGAATTAATATTTACCCTTGACAGACGAGAGTTTCTGCATTTATGAACCAGTTTTTTGTTTCAAAACTATTGTTTGTCTGTGTGTCTGTGCCAATATTTTTTGGGATTACATCTTTATGAACGGATGCATGACAGAACGGAAGAATAACAGATTTTTAGATATTATTCTTCCGTTCTGTATTCTTCTAGTAAAACAGCTTCCAATTTGAAAAATGTTGAAATTTGCCTTTATTTATAATAATTTTATCATAAACGTAAATAAATTTGACAACAATCAATTTATTTTCTACACCATTGCCACATTAGAATTGTTTAATTCAGTATAAATTCAGTTTGGTTTTGTGCATTTACGATACATAAAAATGAGGATAATATAATGTACAAGTTAATTTGAATTAAGACTGTTAATGCAAATTAAGGCTGTCGTCTGTCTAGGCTATTAGTCCAAATAACCCAAAATTAAATCAAAAACAGAAAAAATAAATTTCTTAGAGGATTTATGACATTTGAAATATGAATTCTGTACCTGTGCAAGTACAATGGACGCTAATGAGTTAAGGAAGGCAACATTTTACTTTTTTCATTTCGCACCAGCGAGATCCACATCTTGTGGAGAATGTATATTTTGTAAGGCAATTGCACTTTTCAACAATAACAGGCAAATCGCTTTCCAAAACACTTCGATAATCTGCCTTTTTCATAATCCCTGTTATTCAAACTAGGCAACCGATTCTTACTCTAGACCACAATACTTACTGATTCTCGATATATTACCTCCTACAAAGACTCTTTATTCCAGAAAAAAATAAGCATTTAAATAGAAAGAGGTAGGAATTTGCAATTAAAACATAAATGGGTTTTCTTTTTATATACAACTTTTATATACAATTTATATACAACTTTTTATATACAACTTGTATGTTTCTCGAAGAAAGTCATTATTTTTGTTTCTTATATATACTACTTACAGTACAATTTATCGAATGGAAAAATAGTTGCATTCATAGTTTATATTCTGTTATTTTCATTTAAGTTAATTATTGGTAATTTTGGCCTTAGCTACGACCAAGCCAAAACCCAGTTTGCTATTTGGTCTATACTGGCAGCACCCTTGTTAATGTCCGTTGACTTACGCACCATTCGTCCCGACTTTAAGGCCATATTACAGAACAGACAAATTATATCTGTAGACCAGGACCCATTGGGAATCCAAGGACGAAGAATTTACAAACACAAAGGAATTGAAATTTGGTCAAAACCAGTTACACCCATACATGATCGTCATTACTCTTATGCTATTGCCTTTGTGAACAGACGAACGGATGGCACACCATCAGATATTGCAGTAACTCTTAAGGAACTAGGATTAATAGCCCTTAACGGATATAGTGTTCATGTAAGTATTGTCTGGGAAATCGTATATAGGTGGTTGAGCTTAAATTCCATTACTCTGTATTTATTTTTATTATATCCCTATTTTTATCAACACACTTTGAATGTTATTGTCTGCTCATATAATTGTATTAGTCGCTACTCTTTAATTCGGCGAATACAATACATTATATCTGAAGAATAACAATTCAGCATTGAGAGAGACTGTGACATCTAAAACCTAATTTTTTTTTAATGGCAATATTTAACATCGCTCAAAATTATTAATTATTCTGTCATTATCTCCTTGAAATACGTTTCAAAACTTGGAAATCTTTCGAGAAAAATGATGACTTTGAGGTTTTTGATTTTAAAAAAAAAAGTTCCGGACTTTTATTTATGGCGGCCTATGCCATTGTAAATAGTTGGTAGGAATTTGAGCCAGTTCAGCTAAAAGCTATCCAAAAACCTCTTTAATACCGCATAATAGGCCAATATAGATTATTCTTGACAGGAATATGTGTTACACAATAATTACAAAATAACAGCCAACACACATTTTGAGGTACCATTATAAGGGGGCTATTGTAAAGAGTGGACCAATGTAATTTTGGTAGGAAGATGTGAATTCAAAATACCAAACTACATCCAATATCTTTGTGTGTGGACTTCTATTGATTCTTTATTATCAGCGCACACACACAGATGTTGTGACTGCATTGGCCACTTATCATAAAACCACTTGAACATCATTTATGAAATGCATAAATATGAAGTGATCATAAAATAAAAAGGATGAAGCCGAGCATGTTCATATTTTTATGAACAATTCGCCTTCCCCCATTTTAAATTGAACTGTTTTGTTTCCATTACGCTGCACTGTGGGCGAAATTCAAATCTATCGGGGAAGAGTTAATAACTTTAAAGCGAGTAGATATAGACAAATGAAAATCTGCACATATGTTGCTCATGTGAACGGGGATAATCCTGTAGAATATAAATTATGTAGGTCCACGTATTGGCATAGCCCACATGTAACTCTACATCTGATTTAAGGAAATTCAATGATTTTTAACACTTTGTAAATATCAATAATTTTATTTCGTTTTTGCAAATAGTCAGGCTGAATCCCAGTTTGTTGTTTTTATAACAAGTGAAAAGGCGTTAAGTTCGGCCGGGCCGAACTTTCGATACCCTCCACCGTAGATATACTGACAGGTACTTGAAATAAAAATATAGGAAGCATACCAAAATGTGTACCTATACCGACATTCTTACAAACCGATTATGATTCTATATATATATATATATATTATATGAATATATATATATATAAGGTAAATTATCGAAACTTATGTTCTAGTTTTTTTTTCGTATCTTCCACAGATGAAATGACTACAACAGAGACTTAGAACAAAACCCAAACACGGAACAAACCATATAACTATTTTAATACAAAAAAGGGGGTTATATGGGGACGACCTCAAAAAGGGGGCGCATATTAAAATTTTTGGTAGGGAGATTTGTTACTATATACGACTACAAAATACCAAATTGCAGCGAATTCCGTTGAGAAACGCGCTCAAGAACCCCAAAATACCAAAAATTGGGGGTACCCTTATATGGGGGCTATCCGAAAAAATTGACCTATATTTATAATTTTTTGTGGAGTGATTTAGTACCTATTAGGAACTCAAAATACTAAAGTACAGCCAGTTCGGCGGAAAATACGATCAAAACCCCAAAAATACTAAATCTTAGGAGGTACCGTTATATGGGGAATTTTTTTTAGAATTTTTAGTGCATCAAGTCAACTTACCAATTTATTTTAATAAGTCACACATCCCAACTTTAAAATATATATTACTTGGTGATAAAACAAATATCAAAATACTTGCTTGTTCGGTCACAAACATATCACTTTACTGTCATAATGGTCAATAACAATAAAATTAGATATTGTTCTCTATTTTTGTATTTATAATTTTGGAGACATTTAATACCCAATAAAAACCCAATGTACCAAATTCGGTTGAAAAACGCGCCATAGAACCCCAAAATACCGAAAATTAGTGGGTATTGTTATATGGGAGCTATGCCTAAACGTGGACCGATATATCCCATCTTCGCACTTGTCCTGCCTGCAGACAAAAGACGAACCTATGCAAAGTTTCAGCACCCTATCCCAATTCCTTCAGAAGATTGGAATTTTATCCTGATCAAGAATATATATATATATACTTTATAGGGTCGGATATGAATATTTCGATGAGTTACAAACGGAATGACAAAGTTAATATACCCTCCATACTATGGTGGATGGTATAAAAAACAACTATTTATTAGTGAGGAATGTATGGCTTTGTTTGCCGAGGGGTAAGGCAGGGAAGACTATAGTTTCGGATCTCGCCACTGATCCTCATCAGTTCCACTAATAAATAGTTGTTTTTTATAAAAACAATAAACTGGGATTTAGCCTGACTATTTTGCAAAAACAAAATACAAATGGCATACCAAATAACTCGCCAACACTACTGATATTTGTTAATAATTTATTTGTGGGTATAAAACATGGTGTTATCATGTTCTTGAAGATTCTTTTAAAATTGAAATGATCTGAAAAGGGCAAATAAAGACAGATCATATTTAGGAGTAGTTTCCTCGGAGTGTGTATTTTAAAATAAAAAAAGTTCGAATTCTGGGTAGGGCGGGACTTAAAAGTTGGAGCTTATACAAAATTATATTAATGTGAAAAATTACGTATAATTATTAAGAATTTTTTTTAGAATTTTTAGTGCATCAAGTCAACTTACCAATTTATTTTAATAAGTCACACATCCCAACTTTAAAATATATATTACTTGGTGATAAAACAAATATCAAAATACTTGCTTGTTCGGTCACAAATATATCACTTTACTGTTATAATGGTCAACAACAATAAAATTAGATATTGTTCTCTATTTTTGAGTCCATCAATATGTTAACAAGAATGCCGTAGGAACGTTTTTATAATATGTTGTGGTTAATTTTTGGACTTTTTCCCAGCTAGATTTGAATTTCGCCCATTGTGCGTCTTGGGATTTTTTTTACATTTCACTTTACGTAAATTCGCTGTGTGCCATTCAGGTATGGTTCGTCTGACGAATTTTTAGGTTTCCGACTGTATAAAATGTAATAAATGTAGTAAACGTCATTTATTTTAATATTATCATTTATTTTAATATATTATTTTTACAGATATCTGACTATTTCTTACTAGAACTAATAAAAACATTTTTTTAAAATGTTATATCGGTTTGAGTAATTTCTAAATTGATTAATGGAAATAGCTGATTTGTCAAAAACTTAATGGTTTTGGGTGGGTTCCGACTTTTATGACGTATGTATTATACGTCGAAAATATATGTAATTTACGTCACTGTTTCTGACGGACCATCTCTGCTCACACTGCCGACCGAGAGGACGCACAATTTCTCTAGTCCATATTAACAGCGGCCAAAAATAGGAGTTATGGTAGGTGGATGAAATGTTTTACGTGTATTATTGTCCTAAAAAGCTAGTGATCAAAAATTGCATGAATCGCACCAGAAATTCTTTTGCCCAATAAAGTCGTTAATATTCAGCTAAATTCGATTAAAAATTGCTGTTTACTTCTAATTGCGTCAGTTTTTTTTAATTAAGATTTCAGCATTCAATAATGGAATTATTTCAAAATAAAACAATACATGGAGAAAATCACACAGTTTACAGAAATCAAATATAAATCTCTCAATATCGGTCTAAAACTACTGGGCGAGATTATTGTTTCTATTGGTAAAAGGGACACATTTTCTACACATAATAACATTTAATTTATAAACTTACGTGGCGCTAGTACCCGATGTTTATAACAATTAACTGTTTGTAACCGCTTGAACAACTGCAAATGTTGACAAAATTGTGATGATGAAATAGCTACTTCTCTGTTAATAAGTTGAAATAATGCTTTGCAATTTTCATAATAAATGTATCGTCTTATGCAGTATCCGTTTCATTCGTGGATTTATTTTGAAATGTTTATAATCGTCTTTTCACTAATTCACAAATTCGACACTTTCACCCTACTAGTTTACAATCATCTTAATGATAATTGCTATTTTATGCATCAATCGATGATATTGTACAAATCATCGGTAAAATTTAATTTACCAGTTATGCATTACAACATACCTAGATCCCAAAATATTACACTGTAAGAAAAATTTCAATTTTTTTGATAATTATCGGGAAATTCCAACAGATTATGAAAGAAGGGCTAAAAAAAAAACACGTGTATCGGCGTTTTGAAAGTTTACGTCGGGATGTAACCTAAAAAGGGGAGGGGGCAATATTCCCACTTTTCAAGAATTTTGATAATTTTCAAATTACGATTTCTTCAAATCCTTGCATTTTAGGTATATAGTGTCTTCGACAATATTACTGATAAAATATCGAGGAATATTTTGGTATACAACTTTAACCCTCAACCGACTCATTAAAGGGGTCTTTTCGGTCCCCTTTTCCAGGTGTGATTGAAAACTCATTCAAAACGGTGTTAAAGCTGCTCAGAATATTCTACAGAAATATTCGCCATAAAGTTTTACTATAAGTCTCAGAATAGACTAAAACTCAAAAATCAGCCGAAACGTCAAAAATCGTAAAAAAAAAACAAAAACTCATTTAAGGGTTAATATCGTACTTATTACTAGTTTTTACCCATTTATCCCACAAGATGTCGTTTTAGAAGGGCGGTATACGGTATATTCTCCATCAATTTTTAGCATAAGTCATTTTTCATGTCATTTTTTTGTCAAAGACATTTCCCAGTATTTTTTCGACAAAGTGCATTAACACTAGATTGCTGAAGGCGGTCATTTTACCGTTTTTTCAATTTCATGTACAAAAACAATAGTGTATATTATGACACAGCTTTTTAAAATTTGGTGACATTTTGTACCACATAGAACTACGTTTATTAATCATAGTAGCTGCTTTCTCCCCTCTTTCATTCCCCATATTCACATGTGCTATACATATATTGCCTAAAATCGGTCATTTTGACCTCTTGTGAAATATTAAATAAAAAACTACTTTTATTATTGTATAAAGTTTCCTATATGACCAGATCAGTACAACAACATCGAAAACCGTTTGCTACTCTAGAAACACAAACGTAGACACAAATCGGGAAAAATAAATTTTATGTTTCCAGTCGATTTCACTCTTAGAGTAAAGACTTCCTCTTTTTCGAACATTTTGTACGCGCTCTTATTTTTCAAAAGGGGAAACTCGATAGCCCTACCACCGAAAACAAATAATAACAACGTTTTGTATGATTGTAAATAATATAAAGAATGTTAAAAAATAAGTTTAAAAAATTTTCAGTAGTGTTGGCGGTTTATTTGGGATACCATTTGTATTTTGTTTTTGCAAAATAGTCAGGCTGAATCCCAGTTTGTTGTTTTTATAAAAAAACAACTATTTATTAGTGGGGAATGTATGGCATTGTTTGCCGAGGGGTAAGGCAGGGAAGACTCTAGTTTCGGATCACGCCACTGATCCTCATCAGTTCCCTTAGTTTTTTGTTGGGATATTCTCCCCAGAAGCTATTGCTTCTATACAAAAAACCTTTCATACCCAAATGTCTCTTGTAACAAAGCGAAGTACTTAGCTGACCAACGACATAAACTGCATGAGAATTTCGCTGGAGCCTCACTTCGAGGTTAGCAAGGCATTTACAAACAATACCACACCTTTCCCACTGTTGTGTGTTGTCACATCGCGACAAATGCACACAACGACTTTGTTGGTGTTGCTAGTGTACAGCAACAAACCAAACAGTTTAACCGTGCCTGCGTCTACAACTTCAGTAGACATTTAGGTATGAAAGGTTTTTTGTATAGAAGCAATAGCTTCTGGGGAGAATATCCCAACAAAAAACTAAGGGAACTGATGAGGATCAGTGGCGTGATCCGAAACTATAGTCTTCCCTGCCTTACCCCTCGGCAAACAATGCCATACATTCCCCACTAATAAATAGTTGTTTTTTTTATAAAAACAACAAACTGGGATTCAGCCTGACTATTTTGCAAAAACAAAATACAAATGGTATCCCAAATAAACCGCCAACACTACTGAAGTTGTAGACGCAGGCACGGTTAAACTGTTTGGTTTGTTGCTGTACACTAGCAACACCAACAAAGTCGTTGTGTGCATTTGTCGCGATGTGACAACACACAACAGTGGGAAAGGTGTGGTATTGTTTGTAAATGCCTTGTTAACCTCGAAGTGAGGCTCCAGCGAAATTCTCATGCAGTTTATGTCGTTGGTCAGCTAAGTACTTCGCTTTGTTACAAGAGACATTTGGGTATGAAAGGTTTTTTGTATAGAAGCAATAGCTTCTGGGGAGAATATCCCAACAAAAAACTAAGGGAACTGATGAGGATCAGTGGCGTGATCCGAAACTATAGTCTTCCCTGCCTTACCCCTCGGCAAACAATGCCATACATTCCCCACTAATAAATAGTTGTTTTTTATAAAAACAACAAACTGGGATTCAGCCTGACTATTTTGCAAAAACAAAAAAAATTAAAAAATTTTCTTTATACAATAAAGATTCTTTCAGAATGAGGTCATTTTGACCGATTTTAGCCAATGTAGGTATATAAAAAATTCCCGTCTTTCTAGTGTTAAAGTAACATGAAACTTAATTTTAGGTATATAATGTCAAAGAATAAAATATTCTACGTCTACCGAATATACAGTCATACATTTTGAACCAAAAAATCAAAATGTTCTTGTATTTTTTTGTCAAAGACATTTCCCAGTATTTTTTCGACAAAGTGCATTAAAGTAACATGAAACTTAAATTTAGGTATATAATGTCAAAGAATAAAATATTCTACGTCAAAATCTACTTCAAGTCTCAAAACAAACTATATATTTATATTCAGTAGTTTTTAAGAAATTTACGGTATAAAATTAACTGAAGTCTGCAAAAAAATTTTGTTATTATATATAATTTTATACCGTAAATTTCTTAAAAACTACTGAATATAAATATATAGTTTGTTTTGAGACTTGAAGTAGATTTTGACGTAGAATATTTTATTCTTTGGCATTATATACCTAAATTTAAGTTTCATGTTACTTTAATGCACTTTGTCGAAAAAATACTGGGAAATGTCTTTGACAAAAAAATACAAGAACATTTTGATTTTTTGGTTCAAAATGTATGACTGTATATTCGGTATATACATTATATATACATATTTCTCTTGTTCAGTGACTTATGCTAAAAGTTGATGGAGAATATTTTAGCCCCTTATACCATCCTTCTAAAACAACATCTTGTGGGAAAAATGGGTAAAAACAAGTAATAAGTACGATATTAACCCTAAAATGAGTTTTTGTTTTTTTAAGATTTTTGACGTTTAGGCTGATTTTTGAGTTTTAGTCTATTCTGAGACTTATAGTAAAACTTTATGGCGAACATTTCTGTAGAATATTCTGAGCAGCTTTAACACCGTTTTGAATGGGTTTTCAATCACTCCTGGAAAAGGGGACCGAAAGGACCCCTTTAATGAGTCGGTTGAGGGTTAAAGTTGTATACCAAAATATTCCTCGATATTTTATCAGTAATATTGTCGAAGACACTATATACCTAAAATGCAAGGATTTGAAGAAATCGTAATTCGAAAATTATCAAAATTCTTGAAAAGGGGGAATATTTCAAAACGCCGATACACGTGTCTTCTTTTTTAGCCCCTCTTTCAAAATTTGTTGGAATTTCCCGGTAATTATTTTTTGTGTTGCACAGTGTTATATTTAACTCATCAAAATTAAAAAATACAAACTATTTTTTGAGAGTTATGTCCATTTTGTTGCGGACATTACAATCTAAAAAATTGGTGTTATATCCTTTTTTTGGTCTTGTGTTAGCGGCATTGGTGGACATAATGCTTAAAATTAATTTTGGTCGTTATGTCCGTTGGGCGTGAAGTGAGGTCAACTAGCTGCGGAATTCTGTGGTCAGTGGGGCTTTCGGCACAAAGTTGATCGCGCTGTTGTCCCACTCCAGAAAGCTTGTATGGATAATTTGGTTTCATTGGAGGAATTCTGCCTGCAAGAACGAAGAGTTTTCCGTTTTTTAGGATTTTTTCCGGAATATTTTCTATCCCTTTCTGGCACATACGGGTGGCGGCAAAGGACTTATGGAGTCCTCAATAAATATTGTGAAGCCTTGTTATCGGGCTCGATGAAATCGCTGGGTTTCTCTACACTGACCAGGATTTGCCAGGAAGGATTGATGGACTGACTGTGGCAATGTCCGCAGAGCTTGAGCACTTATCTGTGACTCCGGTGAAAGATTCCTCGTTGATGGAAACGAAATCAGTCTATCTGATTCATATAAGAATATCACGTGTTAAAAATACACCAGATGTTTTATGCTTGGGTGATAACTATTCGCAATGCTGTTGATGGGAAAATATGGACATTGACAATTTCAAAATCTTCAGGATGAATTGAAATGCTCATCACCTCGGTTTGGTGCCTGCACCAAAGGCTTTGGTGGAGGAACATCCTCCTGTAGAGATGAAGAAGGAAACCTGGTGAAAGATACAGCGTGTTGAGGATCTGGAAGAAGCATTTTGGAAAGCTTCTGGTATCAAATAGTGGCCTTGAAAAAGATACCAATAAGAGATGATGGTATAGAGTGTATACCACCTAACCAAGATGAGGTCATAAATGCAATTAATCGGCTCAAGAACAACAAAGCAGCAAAAGCCGATGGGTTACCAGCCGAACTTTTCAAGACTGGTGGCCAGATACTGGTCAGGAGCATGCACCAGCTGATTAGTAGATTTTGGCTAGATGAATACATGCCCAATGATTGGAACCTCAGCATCCTGCGTCCCGTGCACAAAAAAAGAAGACAAGACGATATGTGCCAACTATAGAGGAATAAGCCTCCTTCCCATCGCATATAAAGTGCTATCCAGTGTGCTGTGTGAACGATTGAAGCCAATGGTCAATGGCATCATTGGACCATACCAATGCGGCTTCAGACCTGGCAAATCCACCATTGACCAGATTTTCACTCTGCGTCAAATTCTGGAAAAGACCCACGAAAAACACATCGACACATACCACCTATGAAGCAATTTTTACACTGAGGAGATTTAGAAAGGCTCGGTGATTTTGATAATCTTTCTTATATGCGATTTTTTCTTATATGAGATGTGCTTATATCCGATATCTACTGTATTATATTTGCTGGGAATTATTACCATTCTATATCTATTTTTTATACATATATAAATTTGCATCATCACTCGCACATACCACCAACTTGCCATTATTAGTTTGATGGGGTGTCATGGTAAAGAATAAAAAATACTGATTTTAAAATTTTTCTTTTGATTTTTTAGGATTTGTATGAAAACGTTGATTATGGAATTCTTCATGCTAATACCAAAATAAAAGTGAAGGTGAATCCATCTGGCGTGGTCATGTTGAAGGCCGAAGTTCAACGTCGCTGAGTTATACAAACTTCCATCTAATATTAAAGTTTTTAGTTATAACATGTTTTCAATTTTCTTGTCGAGTATTTTGTAAATAAAATATATTGCAGCACATTCAAATTATGTTTCGAACCCCATTGATATAATTATTCTTGAATTCCGCTATTATTTGACATTTACGGTTTAAATGAACATAATAATTTTTTTCGATTTTAATGTCTGCCTTTTGATATCTCCCACACACCGTTGTGATTTTTACCTGTTGCAGTAGACAGTGGAGAAACAGTCGATGATATAAATATCATAAATATAAAGAATATTTTATATAACCATAAAAATATACAGTGGTGATCACGTAAGTAGCACACACATGTAACATGTTTTGATTAACCCTCGATCCGTTTGGAATATTTTAATTATTATTTTTTTATCAAAACGCTTATGTGTATTGCACTCTACCGATTAAGTGTGAAAATAGAAAATAATCATGGGAAATTTGTGAAATATAACGGTATTTAGGAAACAAGTGAACTCTTGAAAGGGACACCTAATTAACACACCTTGGAATTGTTAATTTAAATGCCGTTGATATTTAAAAATATATACAAAAAACAACTTCGTGTTAGCAAATTAAGTCCAATAAATCATTTTCAGAAGAAAAAAAATCTGTAAAAAAATTGCCAAAATGGACAGCCTTTGTGTAAAAATTAAAGTTAATATTGGACCGAAAAATGCTTTAATAACTATAGACCAACAAATATTTATAAAAATTAAAAATGATCGAAATAAAAACTCAAAAGTTAAAAATTCACTTAAAAGACTCCTTTGACTTCGAAAGGTTTCGAGGCAGAAAACCAGTTAATTTTTTCATTATGTTAGAAAAGAACGATTTATAATGGCAAATCAATTGTTTGAGTAGAACAAAATCGAAACAGAAAAATCGGAACAAAGTGGTCAGCATAGGTTTACCAGTACAAGTCTATATCACACCGCTAGGATATATATTGTCTTATTTCCACATATTTTAGCAACCTCAGTAGATCAGCACAATCCTAACGGTGTGCTATTGATTTATACTGGTCAACCTATCATAAAATTACTTATTTATACAGGGACTTTGAAGAATTATATCAAACCTATAAAAGGTATTATTCCCGTAGACAACCCGTTCATAGTGAAATCTATTCATGATTTCACAGCAATTAATGCAAAATTGACTTTTGAAAGTAACTTTTACACAAGTTGAGGACATGCAAGTACCTCAAATCATTGCGAAAAAATTTAAGGAAATGATAAAAAAAATGTTCGGGCTTTTTTGCAAACAAAAAACGATTAGTTATAAACTTTAGGAAACTTAACAACAAATACCCAATACCCCAGATACGTTATTCTATCAAATCTTGGAAAAGCGAGATTTTTTTACGATGATTGACCTTAAATCAGGTTTCCATCAAATAACACTATCTGAACAAGATCGTGAAAAAACGGCCTTCTCAGTTGGAAATGGAAAATATGAATTTTGCCGTCTTCCTTTTGGCCTTAAGAATGCCCCCAGCATTTTCCAAAGGGCGATCGACGATGTCCAGAGAGAGCAAATTGGAAAGACATGCTATGTTTACGTCGACGACGTCATTATTTTCTCTGAAACCGAAGAAGACCATGTGAAACATATTGAGTGGGTACTGGACAGATTATACGCGGCCAATATGAGAATTTCTCGGGAGTTTGACAACTCTGCTCGTATAGAAGTGTTTTGTGCGTGTCTTTTTAACAAAATTAATAATTATTCATTTAAACGTGTCTATAGTGGCGTATTAAGTGTTTATTAGTGTTATTTCAACAAAATGTAATACTCTTAATTTCGAAATTGTGAAGTTTTTTCTAAAAAGTGTTTTTAAGTGTTTATTTGTTTTTCCAAAATTTTCCAAAAATTGTATTTGGTTTGTATTTTGTTATTTATTTCTCCTTCTTGTTCCTTCGTTGTTTTTGTTAGTTTTGACATTTGTTTTATATTCCCCACTTGATTGTCAGTACTAAATTTGCTTTCTTTAGCATAATTTCAGGCGGTTACGTTAATTCATTTGCTATCATTTTCCATATTAAATAACTTCTCGTTTTTAAAGCATACTTTCAGGCGGTTATAAAATTTTATTAATCTTTCATAATGGCTTGCTCTTTTAAAGACTGCAATATTAAAAACGTTAACGAACGACTTATTACGTGTTATATTTGTGATAATTACATGCATCTTAAATGTGCCGGGTTTAATGGTAGGCAGTTTGATTTTATTACGGATAAGTCTAAAGGTCTCCGTTGGTCTTGCTTAGAATGTAGGGATCTAGAGGTAAATATAGGGATCTAGAGGTCAGATATTTTAAATTTAAAAAAAGTTTCAATTCGGTTTATCATAATTTTGAAAAAATCGATTGCTCCCCTAAAAGGAAAAAATCAGTTAATATTGCTAGTGGTCCCAGTTCATCAAATCTAGGCCCAGATAACTTAATTAGTCTGTACTCGCCTATAGTGGCAAATTGCCCCTCCAATATGGAAAGTGTAATTCCTGAAAATAATCAATTGCCTGCTCCGATTTCTAATTTAAATTTAGCTATTGAACTTAATTTTGAATCAACTTCAGCATCTACTTCTGCAACCGCTTATCCTTACCTCCTGCTATTGTTGTCAATGGTCAACCTTCAAATGCTGTTATTCCCCCTAATGTTTCTAATATTGGAACTGGACCATCCTCTTCAAACCAATTGATTGTTGTAGCTCCACGTAAAACCGTGTTTATATCTAGGCTTCACCCTAACACCTCTACTGATAATATCCGTGACTATGTAAAATCTAAAATAAACGATTTATCCGATAGTGATTTAAAAATCTTTAAATTCAATTCATCTCAACCTCGTGATATTGCTTCATTTAAAATAATAGTTCCTAACAATTTTTTAAATTCTATAGTAACCAATTCGTTTTGGCCCGATGGTATCTTGGTAAAAGAGTTTGTTTTCAGGGAACGTCCATACATTCCTAGAACTGTGAATATTCCACCTGCTTCAAAAAACTAAATATTGTCTTACCTATTCTATATCAAAATGTTAGAGGCCTTAATACTAAATTGAGAAATGTGTTTCTTAAAAGTTTCCATAGTGATTATAAAGTAATTATATTTATCGAGACATGGCTTAAACCTGATGTACTCGATACAGAGGTATTTTCCGATAATTATCAAGTTTTTAGGAAAGATAGAACATCTAAAAAAGGAGGAGGAGTTCTTATTGCAGTTCATAACACGATTCCTTCTGAATTTGTTGAAGTTTCAGTTGGTCAGTATATTGAATTTGTCTCTGCAAAATTTACATTTCTTGGTAACTCTATATTCTTATCTTGTTCTTACATTCCACCTAATTCAGGAGTTGAAATATATTTAAATCACGCTAATTTAATTGCAAAAGTGTTTTCGTTACTTAATAACAGTTCTTCTTTAATTTGCATGGGAGATTTCAACCTTCCAGGTGTAGCTTGGATCCGGGCGATAATATATTGGATTATGTTCCCTCGACTTATCCAATTGCATTCGATGCATTTTGGGATAAAATTTTTGAAATCTGCCTTTACCAGGTAAATGACGTATTGAATGTTAAAGAGAAACTATTAGATTTAGTATTTTCGTCTACGTTAAATATCTCAATCTTTAGAGGCTCTCCATATATAATTCCTGAAGACAGTTATCATCCTACACTCACGGTGAATTTAGAATTGAAGAATTATTCTTCTAACACTATGCCCGCAAAAACTTCAATTATCAGACGTAACTTTGCTAAAACTAATATTGTGCAACTACGTTCTTCATTGTTTTCAACTATATGGGATCTAAGTGGTGACATCGATTCGTGTGTATCAAGATTTTACGAACTACTAAATATTTCTCTAAATCATTATGTTCCTACTGTAAACAAATTGAATGATCAGAGTCTTCCCTGGTTTACGCCGACTCTTAAGCGTTTACGCAATATAAAAAGTAGATTATTTAAAAAATTTAAAAATTCAAATACTGCTCTTAATTATGCAAAGTATTCATTGGCGAGGAGCCGATATAATGCTGAACACAGATACGATTAAACTTATTGAATAATCCTAAATGCTTTTTTAAACTCGTAAATTCCAAGAGAAGAGCACAACAATTTCCTAGCTGTATGAAACTTGGATGTAAAGAATCATCAGACAATTCAGAAATTGCAAATCTATTTCCTGACTTTTTTCAATCTTCATATACTCAAAATGCATTTAGTGGTCAATATAATTTTCATATAATCTCGTTTCTGCTTAACTGAAGATGAAGTTTATTCTGGGTTAAAGGCATTACGTTCCTCATTTTCCCCCGGTCCTGACGGAGTTCCAACCTACATTTTGAAATCTTGTGCTAATGAATTATTTTTACCCCTTACAAAAATATTTAACTATTCCTTAAATACAGGATATTTTCCGCATTTCTGGAGGTCGAGCTATGTTATCCCCCTTCATAAATCTGGTAATATATGTTTTATAGATAATTATAGATGTATTGCGAAGTTAAGTGCCATACCTAAACTTTTTGAACTATTAGTTTCACGAAGAATATCACATTTTATAAAAAGTATTATTTCCCCTTTTCAACACGGTTTATGAAAGGCAGATCTACTACTTCCAATCTTATTGAATTTGTTTGTCATATTCATAATGGCTTCCCAAAAAAACAACAGACTGATGTTATTTATACAGACTTCAGTAAAGCTTTCGATACTGTAGTTCATAAGCTATTGCTCCATAAATTTAATGTTATAGGGTTCCCGTCAATTCTTTTAAGCTGGATTTCATCCTATTTAGAGGATCTTACCCAAAAAGTTTTTTTCAGTGATTCCTTTTCTAAAGATATTGTTGTTTCCTCTGGAGTTCCGCAAGGAAGTCATTTGGGTCCGTTATTGTTTGTTCTTTATCTAAATGATCTTCCGAATTCCATTCTTTATTCCAAAATACTA